GAAACCGAGGCCGGCAAGCAGGGAAATAGCTTGCCCAAGGCCACCCAGCTAGAAAGCCCCACACTCTTCTCCCCACAACGCTACCCATGTTTCCTGGCGGATCTCCTGCTTCATGACAGTGAGGACCAGGTCTATCTTACCCAGCTCAGCGCCTGGCACAGCGGAGAAGCTCTGTGAATCTTTGCTGAATGAATGAATGAGGAGCGAGTGAATGCTGCCCAGTGTACTGAGCCTACAAAGCTGTTCTTCCCTGCTGTCGAGGGGCCAGGCAGAGGCCTCGGGGGTGGCCACACAGGGCAGCCTGAGCACCCTGCCTGCTTCTGCCCAGGAGGCATCTGAGAACCTTGTCCTTCCTGTTTCTGTCCAGCCCCCTCCAGGCGGGGTCTCAGCACTTTACTCCCTGGGAAGTTTTCTTCTAAATCTCCCTATTTCTATCTCAAGCCCCAGCTGCGGTCAGGCACTTGCCATGTTCTCCTGTCCCTAGAGGAAAGATATCCATCTCGCAGCTTCATCAGCTAATCATGCTGGGATAGCTGCCCCCGCCGGCTGGGCCATGGTGGGATCTGGTCGCTCCTACCCTTTTCTCCTCTGCTTGGACTTTACCCTGGAGGTTCACCTCTTCTCTTCCCCACAGACTGACCCATTTTCCTGAACTCTTCAAATTCTCTCCCACCACGCTCCATTCTACCTCCTAAATCTGCCTGCTCCCTTTTCCAGCTACCTATTTATTTCCTTCATCATCATTAATATAGTTATTTGAAAGTCTTCCAGATTGTTCTATTATCTCAAATTTGTGTTGTATGCTGCTGCTCGCAGGAGCTCAGTTCCTCATGTGTTTTATAATTTCTGATTGTGTGCTAAAGCTGAGGATTGTTTTCCCTCGTGGATGGCCCAAGTGGCCTGGGTCGTGAAAGCTCCCTCCAGACATGATTTTACCTTATTTCTGCTGAGCTTACTCCCACCACCAGCACCACTACTCAATATCCATCCCACTCTGGCCCAAAAAATTCCCAAGTTTTGGGGCACCCGGGTGGCTCAGTCACTTAAGCATCTGCCTTCAGCTCAGGTCATGATCCCAGGGTCCTGGGATTGAGTCCTGCATCAGGCTCCCTGCTCAGCGAGGAGCCTGCTTCTCCCTCTCCCTCTGCCCCTCCCCCTGCCTGTGTGCATTCTCTCTCTCAAATAAATAAAATCTTAAAAAAAAAAAAAAAAGAATTTCCAAGTTTTGTTTTGTCTGTGGTAAAATATGCATACCATAAAATTTACTATTTTACCCATTTTTATGCATATAGTTCAGTGGCATTAAGTACTTTCACATTGTTGTGCAACCATCCCCACATCCGGTTCCAGAATTTTTCATCTTCCCAAACTGAAACTGTACCCATTAAAAAATGACTCTTCATTTCCCTCTCCTCCAGCCCCTGGAAATTACCATTCTACTTTCTGTCTCTATGAATCTGACTACTCTATGTCCCTCATGTAAGTGGAATCATACAATATCTGTCTTTTTGTGTCTGGCTTATTTCACTTAGCAGAATGTCTTCAGGGTTCATCCATGTCATACCCTGTGACAGGATTCCCTACCTTTTGAAGACTGAATAATATTTCACTGTATGCATAGACCACGTTTTGTTTATCCATTGTTCACTGATGGGCATTTGGGTTCTTTCCACGTTTTAGCTATTGTGAATAGTGCTGCTATGAACATGTGTGTTTCACTCTCTGTCCGAATCTCTGCTTTAACTTCTTTTGGATATACATCCAGAAGTAGACTTGTTGGATCATAATGTAATTCTGTTTAGTTTTTCTCAGTAACCACCATCCTGTCTTCTGCAGTGGCTGCACCATTTTACATTTTCAGCCTCATGCACAAGGGTGTTAATTTCACTGTATCTTTGCCAACACTTGCTATTTTGGGGGGAGTGTTGTTGTTATAATAGCCATCCTAATGGGTATGGAGTGATATCTTATTGTGGTTTTGATTTGCATTTCCCTAATGACTGGTGACGTTGAGCATCTTTTCACATGCTTTGCTCACTTGTATATCTTCTTTGGAGAAATGTCTATTCAAGTCCTCTGTCCATTTTTTATTCAGGTTGTTTGGGTTGTTTTGTTCTTGAATTGTAGGAGTTCTTTATCTATATTAGTCCCTTATCAGATATATGATTTCATAGTATTGTCTCCCATTCCAGGGGTTGCCTTTTCACTGCTATTGTATTCATTACTATTGTAAATGGAATTGTTTCTTAATTTCCTTTTTGAGTTATTCATTGTTAGTATACAGAAATACCACTTGTTTTGTGTGCTGATTTCATATCTTACAACTTTGCTGAATTTTTAAATTAGTTCTAACAGGTGTGTGTGTGTGTGTGTGTGTGTGTGTGTGTGTGTGTGATCCAAGTTGTTTTTGTTTTTGCTTTTGTTTTTACCCAGAGACCTGAGCAGATTTCATACTTTGATTTCATACTTTGAGATGAAATTCATCTATATTTTCTTTTGTTGCCTTTATTTTAGTGTCACACCCAAAAAAATCCCTGCCAAATCCAATGTCATGAAGTTCTTCCCTTATGTTTTCTTCTCTTGTTTTGTAGTTTTAGCTCTTATGCATAGGTCTCTGATCCATTTTGAGTTGATTTTTGTATATAGTGCAAAGTAAAGGTCCAACTTCATTAATTTGCATGTGGGTATCCAGTTTTCCCAGCACAGTTTGTTGAAAAGACTGCCCTTTCCCCTTTAAATGGTTTTGACACCCTTGTTAAAAATCATTTGATGGCGGGCGCCTGGGTGGCTCAGTTGGTTAAGCAACTGCCTTCAGCTCAGGTCATGATCCTGGAGTCCCGGGATCGAGTCCCACATGGGGCTCCCTGCTCAGCAGGGAGTCTGCTTCTCCCTCTGACCCTCTTCCCTCTCATGCTCTCTGTCTCTCATTCTCTCTCTTGCAAATAAATAAAATCTTAAAAAAAAAATCATTTGATCGTATATGCAAGAGTTTATTACTGGGATCTGTAGTCTATTCCATTGGTCTATACGTCTGTTTTTTATGTCAATACCACACTGTTTTGATTACTGTAGCTTTGAAGTTAGTTTTAAAATCAGGAAATGTGAGACCTCCAACTTTGTTTCTCTTTCTCAAGATTGTTTAGAATCCTTTGAGATTTCATATGATTTGGGGGGATGGATTTTTTTATTTCTGCAAAAAAACATCATTGGGATTTTGATAGGGATTGCACTGACTCTGTAGATTGCTTTCGGTAGTATTAAGACTTCTAATCCATGAATGTGGGATGTCTTTTCATTTATTCGTGTCTTCTTTAATTTCTTTCAGCAATGATTTGTAGTTTTAAATGCGCAAGTCTTGTGCCTCCTTGGTTAAGTTTACTCCTAAGTATTTTATTCTTTTTATTGCTATTGTAAATGGAATTGTTTCCTTAATTTCCTTTTTGAGTTATTCATTGTTAGTATATAGAAATACCACTTGTTGGGCGCCTGGGTGGTTCAGTTGGTTAAGCAACTGCCTTCGGCTCAGGTCATGATCCTAGAGTCCCGCATCGGGCTCCCTGCTCGGCAGGGAGTCTGCTTCTCCCTCTGACCCTCCTCCCTCTCATGCTCTCTGTATCTCATTCTCTCTGTCTCAAATAAATAAATAAAATCTTTAAAAAAAAAAAAAGAAATACCACTTGTTTTGTGTGCTGATTTCATGTCTTACAACTTTGCTGAATTTTTACATTAGTTCTAACAGGTGTGTGTGTGTGTGTGTGTGTGTGTGTGTGTGTGTGATCCAAGTTGTTTTTGTTTTTGCTTTTGTTTTTATCCGGAAACCTGAGCAGAGACAAGTTTTCTTGCCGCTTTCCAAAGCCAGAAAGCCAGTGAGTGGGCTTTTTCTAGGTCCCCATTCACTGAGAGTGCAGGCTTTAAGGATCCCAGCTCAACCCAAGAGTACTGGTTTCCAACTTCCTGCCTCATGAAGGCCAAGACCTTGGTCCCTGCCTTGCATGGTCATTACAGTGTAAGTGCTTGGCCACTGGGCCTGCTTCCTTTCTAATGCCCTCCCCTCAGAACTCCTGCTGCATCAGCTCACTCATCCCTCTGCTTTTCTGCTCTCTCTTGATTTCAAAAACAGACACATTCTATTTTCTAGATGTTCAGAGCAGGAAAGATCCCAGCATCCCACTTCCAAACGAGCACCTCAAGCATATGCATTCATAAAGGGTATGAAGAAGCCAACCTTTTATCCGTATCGAAAAGCCCTATTCCAGGATACAACGAGAGTGGGAACCACCTCAGTCTCTTTTCCCGTGGCCAGGAGTCCTGCCTCCCCCTGGGGCTGGGAGCTGGCCAAGGCCACGCCATGTGGGTAGTTGTTGTCTACTGTTCTGAATGGCAGGTGCTGTCCTGGGCGCCTTACATACATTTGATCTCACTTAATCCTCCTTCCAGCCCTATGAGGTAGGTACTATTACTGCCACTGATCTGAGTAAGAAAACTGCCAAAAACACAGCGAACAAAGGAGCAAAACCAGGATGCAGGTTTTGGTTGGCCCGTCTTTTTTTTTTTTTTTTACCAAATACATCTTGTGTTCCTGCATCCTTCCATAAGCCAAGTACAGCTTCCTCATCTTGCCCAATCCTCAGGGGTAGGGTCCACGTGGTTTCTATCCTCCTACTTGTCCTCAGCACCCAGTGGGTGCAACCTGGGTTACTATATTTTTGCCCCTGAGGACCTGTCCACCACTCAGGAGGGGCAGTGGAATGCACACAGCACTTGGCCTGAGCCCCTGTTACCTAGAGAAAGGAGGCTTTTGCCAAGGACTCTGAGGGGAGATCAGTGCTGGGAGTGGACTCAACTCTGGTCAGGACCCAAGCACTCAGCCCTCCTGGAGACGCTGTGTGAGCTGGGCCAGGCCTGCAGACGGCCCCTCCCGCCGCCCCAGCCAGGGTGGTGCTTGTGTGGGAAGGACTTTAAATCCAGCTGCCAGACCCCTGGCCGGGAGAGGCTGAGACGACTGGCCACCATGCACGGCCCCTGCAGTCCGCTGTTCCTGCTGCTGCTGGCAGCCACTGGGGGCCCCGCCGGCGCCCTCACTGATGATGAGAAGCACATGATGGTGGAGCTTCACAACCTCTACCGGGCCCAGGTGGCTCCCCCTGCCGCGGACATGCTGCAGATGGTGAGTGCGGCCAGGGGCCACTCACCTGCCGGGACTGAAGGGGTGCTGGGCGGGCCCCCCCTTCCCTCCCACCCCCGAGCTGAAGCTACCTCAGAGACTCATCTCTCTGGTCAGTGACAGAGACATTATGTAATTCACAGGTCCCCAGAAGCAGCCCCATTCTACAGATCAGGAAACTGAGGCCCGAGGGACTTGCTGGTCCCTCAGGGGCTTTCAAGTCACACAGCTGGTAGAGCCAGGCCTGGGAGCCCCAGCTTCCCACTCCAATGGCCCCTTCCCAGCACTTCCTAAAATGCAGGTGCCCCTCATAGGGGGGAACGTAGGAAGTTCCCAAACACCTTGGTGAAGACGGTCTTTCAGATGCCTTCCAAGGCAATGAGGAGAGGACAGGAGGACAGCGGGATGGGTCCCAGCACTGGGGGAGGAGGGATGTATGAGGAGGTGGGCGAGAACAGGAGCCAGAAGCAGAGAGGGCTCTGCATCACACAGTTCACATTCTGTCTCGGTCCCACAACAAGACCTGTGATTTGGGGTGGGTCCCTTAACCTAGTAAGGACCATCAGTTTTGCATCTGTAAAATGGGGTCACCATTAGAGCTACATATGGGCTACATCAACATGGGCTGAATCTCCCAGATAGAACACTGGCGGGGGCGGGGGATGAAATCTCAAAAAATATATATACAGGAGGGCATATTTACATGAGGTTTAAAAACATGTAAAAACTACTACACAAGTATACTTGTGGGGAGACATGCAAATGTAGTAAACGCACAGAGACATGCTTATAGATGACGGAAGCCAGATTTGGGGTGGCAATTTACCTCTGTCAAGAGGGAGAGGTACTTGATGGTAGGGTTAGGGGCAGGATGTTTATGCTCAAGATGAAAAGAGGGAAAATCAGGGCTCCTGGCTCAGTCAGTTAAGCGTCTGCCTTCAGCTCAGGTCATGATCCCGGAGTCCTGAGATCGAACCCAGCATTGGGCTCCCTGCTCAGCGGGAAGCCTGTTTCTCCCTCTCCCTCTGCCCCTCACGCCGCTCGTGTGCTCTCGCTCTCTCTCACATAAATAAATAAAATCTTAAAAAAGAGAGAGAGAAAATCAGAAATTCACCTTGTTCCTACCCCCGCCCCCCAAAGGCTGAGCAGGCCCATCCTCTCTGGCCACCCTCAGGTGCCCTGGGAGGTTCAGGAGCAGCATCCAGGAACCCCATAGCTAGTGCCCGTCACATCTGGGGAACACAGCAGCGAGCCTGAGGGTCCAGGACTGGAGTTCCAGTAGCCCTGCTCAATCTGGCAAAGGGACTCTGGGTACGTCCCTTTACCTTCAAAGGCTTCCATTTCCTGATCTATCACTTGGGACAGGCAATCCCTACCCTGAAGGTCAGATGGGAAGACGTGTGACAAAGATCAAGGAAGGCCTCTAGAAATGCACACAGCACCACCATTCAAGCCCTGTCGGCCTGGCAACCAGGAACTGCAGACGATAGATCAGGAGCACTGGATGCTGGTACTAGCTCTGTCAGTAGCTCCCTGATTGAGGCCTGGAATGCATTACTGAGCCTCAGTTTCCCCATTTGTAGATCCCTGATGCCCTACAGTCTTGTTGGCTGAGGCTGGGGGCTACCCATCCAGGAGCTGCTTTGTGGACAGAGGTGGACCTTGGGCTGGGGCAACATTCTGGGAAGAAGTTTGGATACTCAGGGGATATGATGCCGTCTGGTGGGAGGTGATGGGAGGAGGGGATGGACTGGGACACCAGGACAAATTTGGAACAAGGCTCAGGCTCAACCTCAGGAGTGGGAAATAGAGAAACTCTGGAGCCAGGTGGCCTCGTTCAAATCTTGATTCCGCCCTTTATTAGCTACGTGACCTTGGCTAAGTTACTTAACCTCTCTGTGCCTCAGCTTCCTCATCTGTAAACTGAAGATGATGACAACATAGTAACTCCCTTGTAGGATGGTTGTGAGAGTTAAATGCATGAACATGTAGAAAGCACTTAGAACAGTGTGTGGCATACAGTAAGTGCTCAATAAGTGTGTGATTAACAAAAGAGGGAATGGGTCCAGGGTGAGGCAGGTGGCAGTTATCACGAACTCTTTTCTCTCCCCTAGCTTCCACATCTAATCGTCACCACCTTTACCTCCCAGAAGGTTTGATTTTCCTTGAACCCTACTCCCCCATCCTTGTCCCTTGGTACAACCCTGGTCCAGTCTTTCATTACTTCTCCCAAGGACTCCTAGAAGAGCTTCTACCTGCTTCCTCAGCCTCTGGCCTCCGCTGCCAAAATGAATCCCACACACGGGCCTGACCTTGCTCAACACCGTTCAATGGCTCTCACTGGCTCCTGACTGCCTCAGGATAAAGCTCCATCTCCCGAGAAGGCTCTCTCTGTGTGTCTGGCCCCTGCTGACGCCTCCAGCTTCCTCTCCTGCTCAGTTTCTCCCTCAGTATCCTCAACAGTTTGTCCTTGCCCAGCCAAAACGCTGTTTCTCACTTCCATGCCTTTGCTCACGCTGTGCCTCCCGTTCTCGCCACCTGACCAATGCCTTGGTTTCAACACTTACCATTCAGCCCTCACCTTGAGCTAAATGGCCCTCCTCGGTGCCTCTACACTGCCTATTGCAAATCTGTCATGTACCACATGGTGGCCCAATCAGCAGTTTATGTACGACAATGTGAACTTGGGCTTCTCGGTCCTTGCTCTCAGCTCCGGGCTGGCACGGTGCCTCGGACTGTTGAACGAGTGAGTGATGAGTGAATGGATGAATGGACTTGTTTGCAGATGGTGACCACGTGGCCAATGTGGGTGGGTGCCGTGACTCTCAAAAATCCACAGGGGTCTCTGGAAGACTGAGAAGCCTTGAGACCCACAGGACTCTACTGGTGGGACTCCATGCATCCAGTCAGAATAGGAATCCCAGCTGGGCTCTGTAGGGAGCTGACAAATGTCTACTGAGCTGACGAATGTCTATTGAGCAGCTGCTCTGTGCCAGACACTAGTGCCACATCACCATCTTACCCCGAAGGAGCTCATAGTTCAGTCTGGAGCCCTGCAGGTCCTCCCAGGCCCCCTGCTGCTGGTCCCCCGCACCCTGCCGCATTCCCACTCCCAATCTCCCCTTACCTGCCAGAGTCTGAGAGAACCTCAGGGAGCAGTGACAAAGCACCCAGGGAGGGAGAGGCTGTCCCAGGCCTGTGTTCCCATGCCCACCCCAGGTAGCTGCTCCTGAGAACTGTGTGTGGGTGAGGAGCCACACAATCCCCTCCTCTCAGGGTCCCCCAAGCTCTTGGCACTTTGTAGGCTGTCTGGCTCCCACAGTTGGCTGGGCCACCGGAGGGTGGGGCAAGAGTTGCCGCCAGGCCTCCCATTGCTAGGAGAGGCCAAGGACAAAGTTTAATGGGATCCAGGCCTTTCTCATCAATCCTTCATTAATCCCTCTTCCCACACACACTGGGCCTGTCCTCCCAGCCAGGGACACACAGAACCTCAGAGGTCCCTTCACTTCACATGCCCTCACCTGAGGTCCCCCCGGAGAACACTGCCTTTGGGATCTGACAGCCCCTTGAGACACCAAGCCTCTGAAAATAGGCCTCTCGGTGAGGGTCACCCAGAGACACTTAATCTTCTGGGGGAAAGGGGCTGTCAGTTGACAAGAGTTGAGAGTACTTGGGAGGGAAGCCTGGAAATGGTAAAGCCGTGGAGGCTGGGCGACCGCAAGGGGAGAGTGGAACCTGAGAGGGGAGTGCTGTCCCCCCCCCCCAAGTCATATTTATGGTGTGTGGGGAAAGGGGTGGAGGATGGCAGAATAAACAACGCAGCCCTTGACCATCTCGCAGGAAATTCTGTGGTCTTCAGAGCAGTCAGGTGGCCCCGGGAGGTAGTCAGGGCACATTGGCCCTCCTTTTATTAATATTAACTAATAATAACACCGTCACAAACATCATCCCATTTAGTCTTCCCAAAGCCCCATGAGAGTTCAGAAAGGTTAGGCAATCTAAAATCACACAGCTGGTGAATGGTCCCAAGCTTAGCCAACTCCATGGCCTGGCGTGGAGCCCTCCCACCTCGCCCCAGAAGCCCACCGGGAGCACAGACCTGTTCCTGGGCACGGCCAAGAGTCACCCCGCAGGAAGGGAGGGTCTCCGGGCCCCAGAGGCCCCCAGGACACCTTCAACCTTCTTCTCGGAGCCCCGCCGCCCTCTCCCACCCGCCTCTCCCCGCTTCCACGAGCCCAAGGCGTTCCTCACTTCCCTCCCCGACCTGCCGCGCAGAGGTGGGACGAGGAGCTGGCCGCCTTCGCCAAGGCCTACGCGCGCCAGTGCGTGTGGGGCCACAACAAGGAGCGCGGGCGGCGCGGCGAGAACCTGTTCGCCATCACGGAGGAGGGCTTGGACGTGCCGCTGGCCATGGAGGAGTGGCACCACGAGCGCGAGCACTACAACCTCAGCACCGCCACCTGCGCCCAGGGCCAGATGTGCGGCCACTACACGCAGGTGCGAGGCCCCTGGGCGGGCGGGTGGGGCGGTGCAAGGGCAGCGGGCGGGGCTACACGGCGAGTGGGCGGGGCCTCGTGCGCAGTGGGCGGGGCAGGGGCCGCCTCTCCCTTTCCAGCCTCGGAGCCCGGGGCCCCCCCACTCTAAGCCCCCGAGACCCTTGGTAGAAGTCGTGTTTCCACCGGAGCTCACGTGTTGTCCAGGCCTCTGACGAAGTCTGCTTCTCAAACTGCCTAAACCATTTTCAGGTGACTTTTTTTTTTCCCAAAGATTTTATTTATTTATTTGACAGAGAGATAGAGAGAGAACACAAGTAGGCAGAGTGGCAGGCAGAGGGAAAGGGAGAAGCAGGCTCTCTGCCGAGCAGGGAGCCAGACGTGGGGCTCGATCCCAAGACCCCGGGATCATGACCCGAGCCAAAGGCAGCTGCTTAACCGACTGAGCCACCCAGGCGACCCTTTTTTCAGGTGACTCTTGAACAAACACAATCGTTTGAAAATCTAGGTGGCCCCTCTCGGCCTCCTCCTACTGAAGGGACGTAAGTTAGGTGTCACAGAGCCAGGGTCGTGGACGGTAATTATTGTACTAGGCCGTCCTGACCGACCTCTAAGCGGTCCTGTCCTCCCGCCTCAGTTAGGCAGGGCTGTTTGCCCTGCGGTAACTGCCCCCCGACTTGTGGCTTCTCTCGCTGTCCCTCTTTTGTCATTTCTCATGGTGTCTGCTTCTAACCTGCCAGGGACCGATAAAGCAAATAGACAATTGTGTGTGTTTAACTTTTCTTCTACTTTTAAAAGCCATGTGTAAAATAAGAGCAAATCGTCACTGAGCGAATGTTTCAGGGAGACTTCGAGATCATTTCCTGCCCCAGGCAGTCACTTCTTGTTTATGTCAGGCTTCTCACTGCATTTTGAAAGTTTGAGTTTCCAGGTAAGAGATGTTGGGTGAGGGTGCTGTAGGGGTGTGTGTATATGGGTGTGTAGGGGAATTAACATCAGTGTTATTGAATTCTTGTTCTTCTCCACCCAATGCTTATTGTTCAAACAGTAACATGACCAATTTTTTAAAAAGAAAAAGGAAGAACAAACTTCTTCCCAGCCATTTCCACCAATTCCACTTTCCAGTGCTCCTTTTGAGTGATATTTTTAGTGCTAATCTTTGGGGAAGGAAATCCTGACATCACCCATCCAGATGAAGAAGTTGTGAGGGCCCAGCAGCCCTCCCTGTCCCCTCCCCTCCATACCCTGCCACCTCTCACACTCCCCCCCACCCCCAACACACACACACACACACACACACACACACACACACCCCTCCTGCTAGGATTGCTGTCAGAGCCCAGCAGGAGTGGGCCTGCCCTACCACCACCCCAACGTTCTCCAGGGCTGAGTGCACATGCACTCTGGGGTCATTTCTGCCTGGGAGATGCTCAGCAGTGGTATCCTCAGCTAACTTAAGCAGAAAAAAAACGGTCCGGGGTGCCTGGGTGGCTCAGTCATTAGGCGTCTGCCTTCGGCTCAGGTCATGGTCCCAGGGTCCTGGGATCGAGCCCCGCATCGGGCTCCCTGCTCAGGGGGAAGCCTGCTTCTCCCTCTCCCACTCCCCCTGCTTGTGTTCCCTCTCTTGCTGTGTCTCTCTCTGTCAAATAAATAAATAAAATCTTAAAAAGAAA